CCCCACTGCAGTCACATTACCAAATTTTGGGCACTTGGCGACCGAATGGGACAACTTGTCACGGCCAACTTGCCATAGTCAACTCTCCATAGCTAACTTACTGCAGCCAACTCTCAATGGCCAGGTTGCTGCTAGACAACTCACTGTGGGACAACTTAACAATTCCATTTATTTATTTAAAGTAAATAAGTATTTTCATTTTTGCCATTCACATTTCATTCTGTCCCTCCTTTTGCATTCTTTCTTTAATGATTCAATTTCACTATTTCTCTGATATTAGTATAACTCTTGTTCTGCAGAGAGCTGCCCTGTAGCAAGTTGTCCTGCAAGTTGGCCATGGTGAGTTGTCATAGACCCCTTGGCAACTGGCCTCCAGTTATAGATGTTTGCTGTGCCCTATAGTCATATGATCATGATTTATGGCATTTTTGCCAGAAACCACTACTACTTCCAGTTTCCAGCAAAAAATATTCCATAGGGAAAAAATAAGTTCGCTTAACATCTGCTGTAAGGCCATAAAATCAGGTCTGGTCACATGTTGACCTGCTTTATGACTATCATGACTTATGACCATAATAGCAGGGTTCAATTACAGTTGTAAATCCATTATATTATATTATACTGCATAGTATAATATGCTACTTTATGATAGTAAAGGACAGATCTTCATGGCAAACTAGCTATGATGTTAAGTTGATGAAAGATGCTTCAAGTTGTCATAATGTCCTTTCTCTGTTCTTTAATATTGGAGTTGCAACATTGCATGTAAGTATATGAGTAGTGGAATTTGCACTGTACATTTTCTCATCCCCGTCCCTCATGGATGGGCTCACTATCAAAGGAATCTATAAAAATCAGATTTGCATAATGACCACTACAGAATTTGCATGTTTTAATTAAATCTTGGTCTGCAGATCTGTCATAGAGACTAAAACCAAAGAGAAAGAACAATATGAGGCATTAGCCACATATTGCAATATCAGTTGAACAATTCACTTATATAGTATACAGATCTTAAATATAGCGCATGTACATTATGTCAGGTACAATAAAGAGTACCATCAGTTCTCTTAATGTAAAAGCAACAGATATTTAGCTGTATGTATATTTGCTACCTTGAAAAAAAGAGAAAGAAAATATATGACATAATATTCCCAAATAATCTTATTTGGGACTAAGGCCAGTATAGGAAGTATGAATTCATTCTGATACCATCATAAAGTTGAGAATTCAAAATTAGTTACGAAGATCACTAAAATAACGAACTGTTAACATGTTGACTGTTTAAAATGAAAGAAGGCAAACATACCTTCATAAACACAAACATTGACAAACCACAAGAAAATTATGATATTAAAAAAAAATCTACAGTTCCTGAGCAAGTCTGAAGAAATTAAAAAACCAGAATTTCACTGACAATGTCACTTTTATTTGATTCAGGAAAAAAAAATCCTAAACAGACAGTGGCGAAATGTTCTTTATACATCCGCAATGGATGCTTAAATTTTAAACTTAATTAAAAATGAATGAAGGATCTCTACACAAGCATATGAAACTGTGTTTATGGGTTAAACATAGTATTCAACAGAGCTCTGTTCACTTTCCTCAAGTACATAAGGTGGCTGATAAATTACAGGGAATATATATCCTGTTTGCTTGGCACAAGTTGCTCAAATCCACATTCAACTAATTTGCATTGAGTCTTTCAATGAAACTACACATAGACAGCTGCACTTATATAGGGATGAATCACAGTAGCAGCATTTTAGAAACAGTGGAACCCTCTCCAAATTTATTATGTCTTTGCTTGCAGAGAAATAGAATGGAGGATAAAATAAGCCATCAAATAATTTTCCTGACTAGGCAGAATTTAATGTGGAGATGTGTTGTTTGTAAAGAACTATGGTGGTGACATTCGATCAAAACACAATTATTGTTCAATAAAAAGGATGCAACATAATATCTATTGTGTTTAGCATGTGAGCAAAGACATTTTTCTCCCACAGGTATAGGGGAAATAGGAGATGTTAGAAAAGTCACGTTTTACAATTTATAGACCTGTAATTGCTGCTGCTTTTATTTTGTGGTTTTTTAAAATATCTGCAAACACACCTGTGAAGAAACCAAGTTCAGAAATTAAATGTGCAGTTACTCATTACTCTTTTTAATATGAGCACCTTAGAAATAGCTTTGTTTTTTAAAAAATATTAAAAATATCCTGATATCCTGCTTTCTAAATCCCTTTAATAAGATTGTGTAGTTTTCTAGCAACTTATTTTTAGAAATTAGCCCTTTGCTAATCAACTGTTATAATCAAAGTTATTTCCTTTTGGCTTTTGTTCTTCACATCTTAGCAGCACTTTACTCTTCCATACCACTTAAAGAAAGTGAGGTCACTCCAGTCTGATTTCCACACCTAACAAGACTATCCTTTTACCAAACACCTTCATCTTTAGAATTATAATACAACAAGACTCAAACACAACTTACTCACGATAGTAATGCGCTGAACTCACAATCACCTGAGAGAACTATCATAAAAACATTCAGAGAACAAACAAGGTATTGAAGGGAAATAGCATCAAAAGAATGGACCACAAAACACATTGCATGCTACATAAGAATCAGGTGTCAGATAATCATCCATAACTACAGAAGCCCAGGCATTTACTTTGTGTATCCTTGTTCTTCCCACCTTTGTTTTACCTCATGTTCTGTATGATTGAAAGTTATGATGGAAACCCATTCTGCTCTACAAAACGATCTTATCATGCATTTTATTTTTCCATATCCTGCAAAACATGCTACCTCCATATTATAGTGTTACTACATTCATGTTAGAAGCACCTATTATAGCGCTTCCAGGTTGAAGAGATTAGCCAGTGACATCACGATTGCCCATGGGAATGTTTGAGGAGCCTCTTTTCACATCCTCGGTATTGTCCCACCTAAATGATGCCTATTTATCTACTTGCATTTGCATGCTTTCAAACTGCTAGGTGGACAGGAGCTGGAACAAATTGCTGGGAGCTCATTTGGTCAATCTCTCAATGATCTTCTGACTCAGCATTCTAACCACATTTCTCTTTTGCTCCTGGGATACTCTGAACATTATTTATTGTGGTTTACCAAAACAGTGATATGTTAAGTTTCTAAAACTGATGATTTTATGACATAAAAATAAATTCATTGCAAGAGTTTCCAGCAAATTATTTTGAGTACATTATTGTTCAATCTTTATTAAAATCAGCATTTTTAAATTAGTTTGGCCACACTGCATCAATATTTATTTGATCAATTTCCAATGCAAAGTATATTCCAGTTGATGCCAGAAACACATTCTGGGAAGCCACTATATATCAATATCTGATTTATTAGTTTTAAGACACAGTTTCCTAAGCACTACTGCCTTCTCCTACTGACTTGGAAGAATATTACTTTAGAGTAATACATGAACCAGAATGTGACTCTATGGTTCAGCACAATCTCTTTTCCCTATATTGCCTTTGATTATTATCTAATGAAGAGTTTTAGCAGACACTGAGCTTTAATTTTTATGATTTTGTATAATAAAAGTATTTATCCAACAACTTCCGTTTTGGAACTTCTTAAAGGGCAAGTCATTTTTTTGTGGGGTTGATTTACTACTTATTTTTGGTGGTGAAATGTAAGAGATTTTATATGAAGTATAAAAATCTCAACTGTTAAATACCTTAACTGAGTATTTTTCCACTTATTTGTTACATCTTTTTCATCAGCATTTCTCGTATCAGTTTGTGTCTTCCTAATCTGGATCCCTCTGAACTTGAATGAGAACTACATTTTTCCTACTGCATTTTAATTTCATGTTTGGAAATCTAAGTAGTTTTTCTTTTGAATTTAGTTATGCAGTACCTGTTTTTCATCTCTATTGTTTACTATTGTTTTTCCTGTATAAAAATAAGGATAGACATGGATATCACATGATAAAAACTGTCTGAGATATGAAAGTCAATCATGAAGCATAAACTGGATTGCAATTTGAGTTTTATGTAGTTTTTAAAAAAATATTTAATTTAATGACATTATTTATAGTTTTAACTGTCTTAATACCTTAAAGAAAGAAGAGATTTTTTTAAAATATCAAGTCAATAAAGGTGTCAAATGTATTCCGCTAACTGTAAGGATATTTGTGAATCATACATTTATTAATGACCTAAGTGAAAATGATGAGATCCTCATAAAATAAAATTCTGCAATTCTGTAACAGACTTGTAAAATATGCAGAGTAGTTATGTTAGCCTTGTGAAACTGCACTGTGAGAATAAACAATAAGCATTAAAATTCTCTTAATGTCAGCTACTTATTTTAGAACTTACAATGCATTTTATTTTTAGAGATAGATAAAATATCTTTTACAAAGCAGATTACTCAAGAAATATTATTGAGCATTGCTACTCAACCAGTAAAAAACCCACATTCTACATTTTAGGTTGCTTTTTACATTATTGCATATAATCCAAATCTTAAATGTATTCCTGATCCTAATTCTGCAATTAGTTTTTAAGAACATTTATTTAATATAAATGATTCAATAGAAAACTAAAAATGTTAACTGGATTATAATATTTACTCAGGTTGAAAGAAATCAACAAATGCAGCTTGATCACTGATACTCTAGGCAGGATTCAACCATATAATAATCCACTTTCACTCAGAATTTGTAATATTAATACCAACAATTCAACCTTCTAATTTTATAGTTTACAGAAAGAGAACAGCAGGAAATTCACCTTCCTTACACTATAAGTCATACATTAAGGTAAGATTAAGGTAAGGAATAACTGTATGAATAACCACTATCAATCAAATTGTCCAGTCATAGGCAGCTTATTAAAAATTACGATTACATGGACATGCTTCTTTAAGTCCACTGTTATTCGATTTCATATTGATTCAATTATAATCATACAAGTCTAATTTTAATAACTGGTTATTTGCATGAAAGTAATTTTCCTTACCTTCATTATATGAAATCCCAGATCTTAAAAGTCTTGTCTACAAAAGGGATCATCTTCAGCATTTATTAGTTTAATCCAATCATATGTGGTACTCATGATAACCTAAAAAAATATAAAAATTAATGTAAAACCATAACATACAGTTTTGATGATTTCTTCACTATAATAAATAATGAGTATGATTTTTCCTTGAATGCAAATGTAAAATTACAGTAGTAGTATCTTTTCCAAAATATAATATATAGCATAAATTCTAAACTATGCTCAGACAAGATGGCAAGTTACTTACATAACTTTAAAACTTTTAGGGATGTACAAAAATCATTGCTCTGTGGCATAATATCTGAGTTTCTCCAGGATGTAACTAATCTTATTGGGACCATGCCAGCCGTTCTTGGGGATTTAACCCAGGAAGTGGTACAACTTGAATTGTTTCTGGTTCAGAGGATTTATTTTGGGAAAATGGCTTACCACCCTTAGAAAAGGACAGTCAGGGATAGTTTGACATACTTCAGAAGCAAATGGATTTGTGTCACATTAATGAATTTACAAAGTTGCAATTAACAGAGCCGTTGTACTAATCATTTTCCCCATATATACTGTATTTGATTTCTTTCAAATTCTGCTTTCCTACCACTGCAGCTTTTCCATCTGATACTCCAAAGCCACTTCAGGAAAACAGGTGAGCATTTACAACAACATGGAATAGAAGATGAAAGCTTGTAGGTTTTTATTTTATTTTTTAAATTTAGCGTATAGGATCTACAGAGGTCATGCAATCATAACTGATATACAAATTCAGTTTAAATAAACCATCAGCATTAGAAGCAGTCCTCAACTTACAACAGTTCACTTAGAGACCGTTCAATGTTACAACGGCACTGAAAGAAGTGACATGACTGTTTTTCACACTTATGAACATAGTAGCATCCCCATGATTACATGATCAAAATAGAAACACTTGGGAATTGACTCACATTTATGACCATTGCAGTGTCCCAGGGTCATGTGATCCCTTTTTGCGACCTTCCAACAAGCAATATCAATAGGAAAACCAGATTCACTTAACAACTATGTTTCTAATTTAACAATTGCAGTGATTCACTTAACAACTGTGGTGAGAAAAGTCGTAAAATGGGGCAAAATTCATTTAGCAATACAAATTTTGGGCTCAATTGTGGTCATTAAGACTACCTATATATATAAAAGAGATGTGGACAATAAAATATAGGAAATAAAATATTAAATTAATTAGAGGAAACCATAATAAAATCACCATAATATGGAACCATAGAATTGTAACATGATGGATGTTATAATTCAATATCTAAAGAAGCTAACCATTTAACTCAGGGGTATCAAACTCGCGTTATCACATGATGTATCACTTTCCCCCCCTTCGCTAAACTGGGGGTGGCCCTGGTCAATGCCTGACACATCTGGCCCCGGGCTGCAAGTTTGACACCCCAGATCCAACTGCTTCTGTTGGACCTACGATTAGATCAGGTTAAAGGTATTGGCAAAAATTCAGTGTTCCTCTGTAACAGAAGCAACTTCCACTTATGCACCGCGGTTAGTATTCAAAGATAGATTTGTTTTGCATAAATTTTTAAAACTTAAAACTTTCCAGCCAATAATTATATCTCAATTTCCAGTTATTTAAAGGTAGGATATAAACTACACATTACTCAACATTTTGAATCTAAAGGTACTCTATTGATTCAAATATAATTCAATTATAAATCAATAAATCTTTAGTAGTAGTCTGAAAGTTAGAAATGGTGTCTCCAAAAATAATTTCATGCCACAAGAACTTACAAGAAATAATTTTGATAATAGATAAAATGATCTATTCCTAAGATAAAGCTGAAAAACAAGTTGAAACCAATCAGAAATACAATGATTTTGTACCCTGATTACATCTTATTATCCTTTGACCAGATTATTTCTTTTTTCCCAAAAGAAAGGTAATTCCTTGAGAGAATGGTCAGAACAAATCCTAAGATGAAGGACCTTATAGATTCCTGAGTTCCAAGTCCAACAGACACATGGCAAAGGTCATGATCTCATCACCACTACTTCACTTTTTCTTGGGTATTAATCTGCATAATATGTTATAAGAACAATAAAGAATATTTGTAGTTCAGGGTTGAAATGAAGGACCCTTGGTGCTCTCTGAGCTTGGCTGTTTTCTTGCAGATGTTTCAGTACAGGCTAGCACTGATGATGTTAACTAGTTGGGGTAATGAAACATCTGCAAGAAAACAATCGTTGGTACTTACCTGAACATTGATTCTAATGATGAGAGCGGGAGGTGCTACCATCAGAACGTACCCAAGCTGCCGTCCCTAGGGAGGGAAGCAAATTATGAATCTGTAGCGGCCATAGGAGCCACCACCTACTGCAACACTCTACATCCAAAGGATGCTTCAGCAGATGCATAAGCGTCCAGTCGGCAGTGTCTAATAAAAGAAGTAGGGGATGCCCAGGAAGCAGTCCTACAGATATCCTCAAAAGGTGCCCTAGTCACCCATGCCGCCGTGATAGCCGCACTGCGAGTAGAGTGTGTGCTAATATCCTGAGGAGGAACCCCGCCTTTCGTCTCATAAGCCAAAGAAATAACTTTCCTCAACTATCTACCTATTGTATTTGAGAAAACCCTAGCTCCCTTCGTGGATGGCTGGAATGACACCAGAAGTGCCTCTGACCTGTGGAACGAAGCCGTGCGCTTGAGGTAAATCCTCAAGGCCCTCCGGACAGCTAGCCTGTGCCAGAGACGTTCCCTAGCGTGAGTGGGAGTTGGGCAAAAATTGGGCAATATAATCTCCTGTGCCCTGTGAAATGGAGAATTAACTTTGGGCAGAAAAACCAGATCTAACTTTAAGGTTACCCTATCCTGATGGAAAATGCACAAATCGTTGCGAGAAGAAAGGGCCCCAAGCTCCGAAATGTGTCTAGCCAATGTAATGGCAATTAAAAATGTAACGTTCAGAGTCAGGAGCTCTAGAGTAACTGTGCATTTAGGCTCAAAGGGAGAATCTGTCATAGCCTGCAGAACTAAGGGTAAATCCCACATAGGAAACCTGTGTATAACCAGAGGTGCTCCTTTCAAAAACCACCTCACTAATGGGAGGTGAGACAAGGAAACCTGGCCTTCCCCTGGTAGAATAGTAGAAAGAGCACCTGTCTGACGTCACAAGGTATTGTGAGCCAAACCCCTGTCCAAACCGTCCTGTAAAAATTCTAACACTTGGGGCACTGAGGCGGCCTCTGCAGAAATGGATGCCTCTGTACACCACTTGACAAATGCTGCCCACATGGCATTGCAAATTCTAGTGGTAGACGGCTGCCTGGAAGCCTCCAGTGTGGAAATGACCTTATCGGAAACCTTGGCCCTGCCTAGCATGTTCCTTTCAAGTGCCAGGTGGTTAATTTGAGTCACTGGGGCACCGGATGTAACATTACCCCTGGCACAGACAAATCTCCTCCCTGGGACTCTTCCAAGGAGGAGACACCGACAGTTGGATGAGATCTGCATACCACAGTCTCCTGGGCCAATCTGGTGCTAACAAGATTATCTCCGCTTTCTCTGACATTACCCTCCTGATGATCCCCGGAAGGAGAGGGAGGGGTGAGAAAGCATATAGAAGGCCCCGTAGCCACCGGCATCTCAGAGCATCGGTGTCCTCGGCACCTCACATCTGAAATCTGGTCACAAATCTCGGCAACTGTGCATTCACCGGTGTCGCAAATAGATCGACTATAGGCTTCCCGAACCTGCGACATATGCATTGGAAAATGTCCGGATGAAGCTGCCACTCCCCATGGTCCACTGTGGATTGGCTGAGCCAATCCGCCTGGTGGTTGGCAGTCCCAGAAATATGGTCCGCAGTGATCAAGATCACGTGTGTCTCCGCCCAAGAGATCAGTTTGTGTGCCTCTGTTCACAGAGCTTTGGAATGAGTCCCGTCCTGTTTGTTTACATGAGCCTTTGTGGCTATGTTGTCGGTGGGAAATAACACATGCTTGTGCTACAAATCTCTTTGAAAGTGTCGTAAGGCTAGATGAGCCGCTTTGAGCTCCAGATAGTTTATGATGTGATCAATGTTCCCTCTAATTTTTTTTCAGTGTGAGCGGAAAGTATAGTGTTTGAGCGGCACATTTTCATGCCTGAGCACCTTAATT